AAGGATAGAAAATATTTATTTCCTCCTTGAGTGATAATGGATGAAGGCCCCCACAAATCAATATGTCTATACTCTAAAATAGAAGTTGTCCTATGCTTTCCAGTGTTGAAATGCGGCCTATGCTGCTTACCTAAAGTGCAATTTTCACAAAAAGGCACTTTAGATATAGAATCCTTTCCAAACACACCCATTTTGTGAAGAATTTGTAGACCCTTCTCACTTATATGGGCTAATCTCTTATGCAACTTTAAGGTGGCATCAAGTTCAGCACTGGAAGACTCAGCAACTTCATCACTAATTATACTAGCCTTAACAATATAAATTCCATTTCTTTTAATTCCCTTAAAGATGACAAGAGAGCCCTTAGTCACCTTTAAGAATCCATCACCAATTTTACCCTGTAGGCCCAAATCATCCAGGTTGCCCATTGAAATCAATCTCCTGTTCAAATCAGGAACATATCTAACCCTTTCAAGAGTATAGATATATCCATTTTCAAATTTCAATGTAACCTTTTCTATACCCTCAACTTTACAAGCTATGTTGTTTTCCATCAATATCTCTCCTCCATTTTTTTTTCCTAAAATCTACCAACCAATTCTTCCTAGGGGTCATGTGGAATGTACAACTAGAGTCCAGAATCCATTCCTGGACCTGATTTCCTTCATTAACAACATTACTTGTATCAGGGTCAGAAGTTTGTTCAGTCATAACATAGACATCAACAGTAGTGGGTTCAACTGCATTTCCTTCATCCACCTCTTTTTATTTCTGTATATTTTTCTTTTTGTAACAGTCCTTTATAAAGTACCCTATTTTTCCACACACATAGCATTTTTTATTCCTAGTTTTGGATTTAGATCTATCCCTACTCTTAAAAAATTTTCTATGAGTAGTTCCCTAACTGTTTTAACCTTCCTGGGTGGAATTAAATCTGGTTGGAGCCATACCTCTAACAAATAGATTTTTTGGTCCAGCATTATTTCTTTCAGTTCTAAGTTCAAGATCCTTACTCCTCAAGGAGTTTATTACTATATCAGGTGTAAGGGTGTCTCTTCCATACTTTATTGCTACTTTTACTTCTTTATATGTCTTAGGGATAGCATTTAAAAGGAATACTTCCTTGTATTCTTCTGAAACATTAGTTATGTCTTGCACTAACTTAATTAAAGTTGTCAAGACTATTGTCCAAGTCCTTAGCGGGGTCAATCTTTTTTTCCAGCAAAACAATTCATTTGGTAAAGATTTGACGAGATAAAGTTTCTCTAATTCATCCCACAGTATCTTAGCATCATCATGCTTACCAACTTTTCTTAGCACTTGATCAGACAAATGTAAAATAATAGAAGTATATGCAAGTTCAACAGATTCTTTCTGTTGATCAACTGTCATAGTTTCAAAATATACTTATGTTATTGCTTTAACAACTTTTTGTTGAACTAAGAGACATCTCCCCCTTTTCCATCAAAAACACCGAGTTCAAAAGAAGTGTTTGTCATTTTCAAAACAAGAAATAACACAAAGTACTTCAAAATTTTGAAAAAGAAAAAAAAAGACTTGACAACTGATCAATCTTGAACAACAGAGGTGTTTTGACCTTCGCAAAATTCGAGAGGATGAAAAGATCACACAAGAGTATAAAGCAGTCAAATAGGAATATCACAATTATGTAAACAGTAAAGATACACAGTCTCTCAAAATCAAGTGAACACGCTACTAATCAAAAATTACTATACAAGATGATCAAATTTACTAGGATTTTGTGAGAAGCATGTTCTCAAGTCAAGGCTCAATTTGATCATCCCAAGAAAAAATACAGTATACTTCAACAACAGGTCACACGGATCCAAGAATTATTAAAATTATACTAATCAAGTGAACATAATCGTGAGAAATGTAGTTAAGACACGTAAAGAGAACACATAATATCACAGAAAATAATCAGATCAGTGCTATGGTATAATGCAAACCAGATGGTGGTTCATAGAAATTTAGCCACCAATCCTACCAAAGGACAAGGGATTAGTTTAGATCTCCTTAATTCCAACAGTAGAAATGAGTAGCGTATAGGTCCAGGGGCTAATCCACCAAGATTGTATTCAACTTGGGGTTCAACCACCAACTGAACCAAGAAATCACCCAAGATTTTCAGATTTTCACTTGAGACAACCAGATCCGTAAGTGGAACCCTCATATCGAACCAAAATTAGATCTAGGGTTTCACAAAATACCAATCGATCTAAGGACAGAACACATAAAATTGATTTTCCAAGTTCTAGAACTCGATCGAAGGCAAGAAATCACAAGATTACAGTTCTGATACCACTGTTATACACAGCTCTTTTCAAGAAAATTATAAATCTGAAATTACACTTTCTAAAACTATACAAAACTACCACTGGACACCAAGAATATTAATTGATTTAGGCTCAGATCCTTGTACCCTTCTGTATCATCAAAAGAGGCCCTAACTCGAACCATAACCCTCACAAGTACCCAACGTGGGGTTGCTTCAATGGACAGATTTTTGGACTCTCAACACAGATTTCAATTTACTTACACAGAAAACACACGAATTTTGATCTCACAAAGATAAAAAGATCAACTTAAAAAAGGAGATGAACGTACGAAAAACAGGAACCTAGAAGGTTCCAAACGCCTGAAGGAGAAAGAGAATGAAAAATATCTTGCAAATTAGGGTTAGAGACTTGCATTTATAGTAAAACCAATCAACCTAGATCTACATCTTAATCCAACAGTCGAGAGAAACTCTCACACAATTGAGCTGAATATCCGGTCATGGTAAGTGGGCCATCTCAGATAATGTTATTGGGCAAGGTTATTTGTATAGTATCTGGGCCGAAGGCCAATATCATCATTGCCTAAGAATATTGGACCAAGATTGGCATCACAGCCCAACATGATTAAAATAGTTGTTGGGTAAATTGATCCATTCTCATTGTGATTGAAACATAACAACGAATTTTTGACTTAATGTGTGGATCTCATTCTATTAGTTCTACTCCATTTTCTGAAGTGCATGTTATATAAATATGCCGAGGTCAAAACGATTTTCAACGTAGTCCACACTTTAGGAAGAAAATGGAAAATCTTCTCAAAATGATATTTGTGTTGAACTATGTAAAATGATATTAGTTGTGTACATGCTATTTGACCAATTATTTATTTTAACTTTTCATAACTTAATGAATGAAAAATGAATTAAAAAGGAAGCTAACATTAGTAGCTTATTAGATTTTGCTAAATTTGATCGTAAGCTCCAGAAGAATAAATATTCATAAGAGTATTTCATATACCTTATATTGGAAATCTACAAAGTCGCAATCTTGACGGTAGGAGCAGACTTTTTGAGATTCATTTTTTGTATTTCAATCTACATAGCTAGGCTTTTATATCGTCAGATTATTAATCTTTACCTAACTTGTGTTAATTTTCTTTTGTTTTTAGTTAGGGACTCGCTTGAAACACTTGGAAAAGAAAGAATGGTGAAAATGAATGAAATGGGCAAGTTTGGAAATCAAATTCAACACTTCGGAACTTGAAGGGTTAAATTAAATTGAAGAAGACATGAACTATACAATTTAATGGGCTACAGGACTAAAATTCATTAATTGGAAAAAATGACGCCTTGATGAGAATTATCTAATTGGGCTCCAAACAATTTGAAAAGTGATATAAGTTTAATTGGGTCTAAACCAATTGTAATAAAATTGAAATGGAGCTTCATAATGGGAGAAAGTGGGCTAAATTTGTTGGAGATACACATTGGTTGGCGACTAATTGGAGGGGATTTACAAAAGGCGTAGGAACAAATAGAAAAAAAAAGGAGGGCGGCTGTGAAATAGGGAGATCCCAACAAAGACATTGCAGCGCCGGCTGAAGAAAAAAACGAGATATATACACGGGGAAAGATCGGAAAATGGGAGGGAAGAAAAAGAATAAAAGGCAGAACTACGGACTTGAGGAATCATTCACGTTTGGTCGATTTTTGATAATATTTTTCCACTTTTCTTTGTGCTAGGATTTGCGATAAACCTTATATTATGAACCTTTAATCTTGAATTTTATTTATCTTGACGTTAAAACATGTTTTTAATTATTAAATGATTGGCATGGATTTTATTTTCTCTACAATTATATGCGCAATAATTGTATGAGATTTCTGGTTGTTTTACCCTTGAGAGATGGAAAATAAGTTAGACATTATGTTAATTGTCGTAAAGTCCGATAGGGGATAGAAATATACTGCCATACTTTACGTGATCTTTAAGTATTCATAAATCTTTATGCAATTTTATATATTCGCATTCATCATAGAAATATAGTCGGGTCACATGTAAAAATATGTTTAATTCTACTCGAGAAAGATTGTCAAATAAATTAGGGATATTGGTCTTAATAATTGAATCGTGTTGTCAATTTTATAAAATTCGGGTTAAACGGGATTGATATAAGGGGATTTGGGATCCTAATATGCATTTCTTTATCATATTTTTATAAAACTTGCATTTAGTTATAATCACGCATTTAGTCTAGTTAACTTAGGCTTTATATTTATAAGTAGGTTATTAAATCATAATTTAGTAAGCGAAAAAATCACAAATTTCTATTGTTACGGTTAAGGCGAAGATATTTTAAATTTAAACTAATACGATCTCTGTGGGACAATACTTGGATTCAAAAGGTTCACTTTATTACTTGAACACGACTCATACATTTGCGGTGTAGGATTTTAATGAACAAGTTTTTGGCGCCATTGCAGGTGATTGTATTTTAGTTTAATTTCACTTGGCACTAATTCGAAGTTTTCTTTTATTTATTTACTTTTATTTTTTTACAATTATTTTTGCACTTTTATTTTCTCTTGCAAACATTTTATGCGAAATTCGAGAGACAATGAAATGATACCAACTAATCCAGAAATCGAATGTACTTTTCATCGTTGGCAAAGAGAAGCAAGAGAAATAAAACAACAAGAGATGGCCAACAGACAAAATAATTCAATTATTCAAGTGAATGAAGAAGCAGTGATTAATGAAGGGAACATGCTAGTTGGGGACCTCATGACTCCATAAATTATTCAAAGCCAATCTAGCATCGTTTATCCTCCATTTGGACAATTGATCTTTCAATTGAAGACCAATGTCATTCATTTGTTCCAAAATGGACGTCAATTTTATGACAAGGCCGATGAAAATCCACATACACATATCTCCCAATTTTTAGAGATATGTCAACAGTTTAAATATCAAGAGGTTTCAGATGATGCGATCGGATTGATATTATTTCCACATACTCTAAGGGATAGAGCGCTTGAATGGCTAGATTCACAACTTATTGCTAGTATCATTACTTGGAATGATTTGGCTAAAAAATTCTGCATCGAATTCTTCCCACCAGCGGAGATTGCAAAGTTGAAGAATGACATATCCATATTTCGACAGGGAGAAACTGAATCATTTGATGAAGCTTGGAATAGATTCAAGAACATGCTTCAGAAGTGCCCTCATCATGGCATCAGTAAAGGGCTCCAGGTCCAATATTTTTATGCAGTTCTACTTCCATCTTATAAAAGCATGGTGGACTCATCATCCAATGGCTCCTTATCCATGAAGATAATTGATGAAGCTTTGGAATTGTCTGAGAGAATGGCTACTACCACAGCCATGTGGGCCTTTCAGTGTGTTGTTCACAAGAAAGTACCGGGAGTTTATGAGGTGGATACGTATACAGCATTGTCTGCAAAAATTGACTCTTTAGTTCATAAGGTAGAGAGGATGTCACAGTCAACCAATGCAGTACAGGCCAAGAAAGCAAGTTGTGAAGAATGTGGGGTGGATCATAATACAGTAAATTGTCCAATTCTTATACAAGGTATGGAATATGTTGACTATATACAAGCGGGTCAGTGCCAACAAAATAATCCATATTCAAACACCTACAACCCTAGTTGGATGAAGCACCCAAATTTTTCTTGGAGCAATTAGAATCCCACTGTACCACATGGTTCTCAGTTTCAGCAAGCAGAGGAGAACTTCCTTGGAAGAGATGTTTGGAAAATTCATAGAAAAGACAGAACAGTACATGGAGGTGAATAATCAATTTATGAGGAAGATTGAGACAACTCTCCATAATCAAAGTGCTGCAATTAAAAACTTGGAGACTCAGATGGGACAGATGGCACAAGCTATATCTGGTAGAGCACCAGGTACATTGCTATGCAATACAGAGGTTAATCCTAAAGAACACGTCAAAGCAATTACTACTAGAAGTGGGGTCCAATTACCTGAACTCCATGTTAAGAGGCCAACTGCGAACAAGAAAAAGTACATTTTACTGATGAGGAGCATGCGGAACAGACTGAACAAACAACAGATACAGCTATCAAAGTGAGTTCAAATACACCGCGAGTTAAGGCAGCTGCTCCTATTAAACCATATGAGCCGCCAATTCCATTTTCCCAAAGACTACAAAAATACAAATTAGACAAGCAGTATACAAAATTCCTTGATGTCTTCAAAAAGCTTCACATCAACATCCCTTTCGCTGATGCCCTCGTTTAGATGCATAGGTACGTCAAATTCTTGAATGATATTTTATCTAACAAACGCAAGCTAGATGAACATGAGACAATAATGTTGACAGAGGAATGTAGCGCCAGAATACAAAAGAAGCTACCTCCCAAATTAAAAGATCCAGGGAGCTTTACTATACCTTGCACTATAGGCGATTATTATTTTGATAAAGCTTTATGTGATTTAGGTGCAAGTATTAATTTGATGCCATTGTCTATTTTCAGGAAACTGGGCTTGGGGGAGGCGAAAGCAATTATAGTGACTTTACAACTAGCTGATCGGTCTATCACGCACCCAAAGGGAATTTTTGAGGATATCTTAGTAAAAGTTGACAAATTCATCTTTCCAGCTAATTTTCTTATTCTTGACATGGAGAAGGACAGGGACATTCCACTTATTTTGGGTTGACCATTTTTAGCTATCGATAGAGCATTATTGATGTGCAAAAAGGTCAACTGATTTTGAGACTTGGTGAAGAACATGTCACATTTAATGTGTTCAAGGCCATAAGATATCCAGCAGATTCACACAGTTGCTTCCAGATCGATGTGATTGATAATGCAGTAAATGATAGGTTCCAGTTGCATAATCCACCAGATCCATATGAGGCATGCATTACACACTCCCAATATACTCAATCTGATTCTAATGAGGTTGAAATATGTGCAAGAAATCTCGTAGCTAATCCTCCATATAGGCGTAGACCACACTTGGAGGAATTAGGCGTGGGTCCTACAAAGCCTTTGCCATCAATTCAGAAGCCCCTTGAGTTAAAGCTCAAGCAGTTGCCACCTCACCTTCGTTATGCCTACTTGTTCGCTAAAATCCTACACCGCAAGTACACAAGTCGGGTTCAAGTAATAAAGTGGACCTTTTGAGTCCAAGTATCATCCCACAGAGATTGTATTAGTTTAAAATTAAATTATCTTCGCCTTAACCGAAACAACAGAAATTCGTGATTTTTTCGCTAACTAAATTATGATTTAATAACCTACTTATAAATATAAAGCCTAAGTTAACTAGACTAAATGCATGATTATAACTAATGCAAGTTTTATAAAAATATGTTAAAGAAATGCGTATTAGAATCCTGAATCTCCTTATATCAATCCTTTTCGACCCGAATTTTATAACATTGACAACACGATTCAATTATTACCTAATTTGTTTAACAATCTCTTTTGAGTAGAATTAAACCTATTTTTACATGTGACTTGACTATATTTCTATGATGAATATGAACATATAAAATTGCATTAAAGATTTATGAATATTTAAAGATTATGTAAAGCATAGCGGTATATTTCTATCCCCTATCGGACTTTACAACAATTAACATAATGTCTAACTAATATTCCATCTCTAGAGGGTAAAACAAGCCACAAATCTCATACAACTATTGCACATATAATTGTAGAGAAAATAAAATCCATACCAATCATTTAATAATTAAAAACGTGTTTTAACATCAAAATAAATAAAATTCAAGGTTAAAGGTTCATAATATAAATTAGCCTAACAAAATAAATTAGCCTAACATAATGTGAAAATTAAACAAAGAAAAGTGAAAAAATATCACCAAAAATCGACCAAACGTGAATGATTCCTCAAGTCCGTAGTTCTGCCTTTTTTTCTTTTTCTTCCCTCCCGTTTTTCGGTCTTTTCCCCTGTATATATCTCGTTTTTTCCTCCAGCCGGCGCTGCAATTTCTTTGCGTGTATCTCCCTTTTTCACAGCCGCCCTCCTTTTTTTTTCTATTTGTTCCTGTGCCTTTTGTAAATCCCCTACAGTTAGCCGCCAACCAATGTGTATCTCCAACAAATTCAACCCACTTTCTCCCATTATGGGGCCCAATTTCAATTTTATTACAATTGGTTTAGACCCAATTAAACTTATATCACTTTTCAAATTGTTTGGAGCCCAATTAGATAATTCTCATCAAGGCTTCATTTTTTCCAATTAATGAATTTTAGTCCTGTAGCCCATTAAATTGTACAGCCCATGTCTTCTTCAATTCAATTTAAACCCTTCAAGTTCCGAAGTGTTGAATTTGATTTCCAAACTTGCCCATTTCATTCATTTTCACCATTCTTTCTTTTCCAAGTGCTTCGAGCGAGTCCTTAACTAAAAACAAAAGAAAATTAACACAAGTTACGTAAAAATTAATAATTTGACGACATAAAAGCCTAGTTATGTAGTACGAATAAGTGCACAAAACACACTTATCAAACACCCCCAAACTAAAATATTTGTTAGTCCTTGAACAAAACAAAATAAAACTTAGGTATAACACATTTCTAACCAAACAAATCACAAATAAAAGACTTAATGTTGAACTACTTACCATATGCCTCAAGTTCGAATTAAAGCAATATTTTAGAAAGATCCAAACAACATCAAAAATAAAATTTTTTTGCTTATCCAATGCTCGATTTAGTGTGAGAGAGAGAGAGATTATCCAACATTGAACTAACACCTATATTAGAATGCTACCAATCAAGTGTTGTTGATTTATTCATAGTCCCAACCCTTTTGTGGTCAGTTTTTCCTCACACCTCTCGTGTAACAATCACTCTTTATGCTTTTCTCTCCAATCTTGAGGTATTTCTAGTACATAAGGGGTTCCTAAAAATAATTATGATATATTTTTCCGCACAAGTGTTCAGAATTAGATACTTGTAAACCTAGAAAGAAAGATAGTAAGTCTTTTTCATAAGCACACGGCCAATCTCTAGAGTTCAAATCTCAAAGTCATTATTAGGCACATCTCACTTTTGATAATTTATATCTCTTTTTTTTCCTTCATTTTTTTATTTTTGACATCTCCTGTGCAAGACTTCTCTCCATTAAGCTTTCTAGATGACCCCTGTAGAGAGTTTTAGGCGTCATAAAGGCTACGAAAAGAAGTAAAAAAATGTATGATATGTTGATTTTTATTTATTTATTTTAAGGTGATCAGTGCTCGTTTTAGACTCTTTAACTCAAACCCTTTCAATTAACGTCGGGATCCGAGAATTCCAAACCATCACACTTTTATGAAGACAAGCACTAACTTTCCCACCTCCAAATTGCTTTTTTGGTAGTTTGGTTTCTATATAAATTACTTGAGAATTTTATTCGAACCTAGGTCAACAACATCAACAAACCCACAAAAATTAAATTGTGTCCTAACATAAGTGATTACTCAATATGACTATGTGATCAAATAATCAAATCTAACATGGATAAGTTTTAAAGTAAAATTACAAGTTAAGATGCTATCCAACATCTAACTAAATATGTACTCAATTCAAACAAATAATATCTTCATAGGCGGCAAGTCGTCAACGCTACTAGACAATTCGTTTTTTTTTTTTGGGATTGATTTTTTTAACAGTTATACAGACTCGATTAGCAGTTGAAAAGTATGTATTATAAGTATCCTAATACTCACCCACCCCCAAAACAAAAGTACTACTTTGTCCCCAATGTAGAAGCAAAAATAAACAAAGTAAAGGGGTAAAGATTAGAAACTCCCTGGGGGTAGACGTGGACTTGAGGAAGGATCAGGCTGGTCCAATTGGTAGACATCACGACAACTGCAGCTTTTTGATAGCATATAAAATTTAAAAATTTGCAATGAATTCATACCAAGAAAGATTGAGATTTAGGTACAACCTTAAAAATGCATATCACATCAATGTAAGCTCAATAAAATGCTAAGATGTTAACGATGAGCCTAAACAACCATGTCTAAATAAAATGAACTTAATAAGTAAATATGTCTAAGTTACTGATGCAAGTCTGAAAGTATTACTTAAAATGTGTTCAAAGCAACCCATTTAAATACATGATTTCCTAAATTAATGCAGTCCCTAAAACTACATGTAATGCAATAGTAAATTAAAATGGCAAAAAGGGATAGAAGAATGGGTTGCCTCCCATTAAGCGCTCGATTTATAGTCTAGAGCTCGACTTTTTGTTCATTCATTCCGGTGTTGCGAGTTGAATGATTGATTTTTCTTTCGAAAATTCACCGTTCCAATATGGCTTCAACCGTTGTCCATTAACCTTAAAGGTTCCTTTACTTTGGTGAGTCATTTCAACTGTCTCATAAGGAAACACTTTGGTAATGGTGTATGGCCCTGACCACCTGGACCTCAATTTACCAAGAAAATGCTTGAGTCTAGAATTGTATAGCAAAACTTGTTACCCAACCTCAAACTTTCTTCTTTGAATGTGCATGTCATGCCACTTTTTGGTGCGCTCCTTGTAGAGTTTTGCGGTCTCATAAGCTTCCAATTGAAACTCATCAATTTTATTCAACTGACGTAATCTCTTTTCACCGGCAACCTTTAAATTAAAGTTCAAGTTCTTGACTACCCAATAAGCTGTGCTCCAATTCAACTGGCAAATGAAATGCTTTCCCAAAAACCAAACGATAAGGAAACATGCCTATATGTGTTTTGAAAGCCTTTCTGTAAGCCCACAAAGTATCATCAAGTTTCTTAGACCAATCTTTTCTTGAAGAACTCACTATTACCTCCAATATCCGCTTTAATTCTTGATTGGAGATTTCAACTTGACCGCTGGTCTGAGGGTGATAAAGGGTAGCTATACGATGTCGGACGCCATATTTAGCCAGCAAAGACTCAAACTAACGATTGCAAAAGTGTTTGCCCCCATCACTTATGATAGCTTGAGTGTGCCATAACGGGTGAAAATATACTTCTTTAAGAACCTAATTACCACCTTCACATCCTTGGTTGGCAATGCTACTGCTTCCACCCACTTAGAAACATAATCGACGACGACAAGTAAATACTAATTTGAAAATGATGAAGAAAATGGCCCCATGAAGTCGATCCCCCACACTTCAAAAAGCTCTACCTCCATAATGCTATTTAGAGGCATCTCGTTCTTTCCTGGGATATCCCCGTGCGATGACATCTATCACACCTCTTCACAAATTTAAATGTATCTCGAAATATTGACGGCCTAAAAATCAGACTGTAGAATTTTAGTGACAGTCTTTGATACGCCGAAGTGTCTAGCATATGCAGATGAATGACACTGCTTGAGTATCTGGGGGATCTCTTCTTTAGGAATACATTGTCTAATAATTTGATCTAGACCCCGCCTATAGAGAATAAGATCCTCCCAAAAATAATACTTCAAGTCAGAAAAGAATTTCTTCTTTTGATGACTTGAATAGTCTGGCGGAATGATAGATTTGGCTAGATAATTCACTATATCAGCATACCATGGCACATCATCTACATTGAAAATCTGTTCATCCGAAAAGATCTCATTTATGTCCAGTGATTTCTCCAATTCTCCATGCTCAAGTCGGGATAGATGATCAGCTACTAAGTTTTCACTTCCCTTCTTGTCTCTTATATCCAAATCAAATTCTTGCAGAAGTAGTACCCATATGATCAGTCTTGGCTTTGTATCTTTCTTTATCATCAGATACTTTAAAGCTGCATGATCTATATAAACTATTACTTTTAATCCAATAAGATAAGATCAAAATTTATCAAAGGCGTAGACTACAGCTAAAAGTTCCTTTTCAATGGTGGTATAGTTCAGCTGTGCATCATTCAATATCTTGTCGCTACCCCAATACTACTCCCACTGCGTAGTCACTTGCATCACACATAAGTTCGAAAGGGAAACTCCAATCTGGTGCAACAATTACTGGTGCTGAAATTAACTTCTCCTTTAAAGTGTTGAAAGACAATAAACATTCTTTAGAGAAGTTGAAAGGGACATCCTTGAATAGCAGATTGCACAACGGTTTAGTGATCTTAGAGAAGTCCTTGATGAAGTGCTGATAAAAGCCAGCATGACCAAGGAAATTGCGAACACCCTTGACTAAGGTTAGTGGTGGTAATTTCTTAATAACTTGAATCTTTGCTTTGTCCACTTCAATCCCTTTAGCTGAAATTCGATGTCCCAACACGTTGCCCTTTTGTACAATGAAGTGTCACTTTTTCCAATTTAGTACCAAATTTGTTTCCTTACACCATTGCAAGACCAAGTTTAAGTGCTCAAGACGCTCATCAAATGAAGAACCAAAAACTGAGAAATCATCCATAAGACCTCTATGAATTTTTCCACCATATCGGAGAAGATGGCCATCATGCAACGCTGAAATGTAGCGGGAGCATTACGTAGACCAAATGGCATCCTACGATAAGGAAAGGTGTCATAGGGACAAGTAAACGTAGTCTTCTCTTGATCCTTGGGTGCTATCAAAATCCGATTATAACCGGAGTATCCATCAAGAAAACAATAATGGAAGTGACCTGCTAACCTTTCCACTAACTCTTCTTTTTGTGTGTCACCAGAGCTCTAGTTGACTTGTGACTTGAGTTAGCAGACTGAGCTTTAACTTGAAAGATAATGATGGCGCATATCTCATTCATTCTAAATTAACGAATTCAAAATAAAAGGGCTTTCTTTAATTGTTATGATTAGATAACTTGTTCATTATATTTGTTTCTATCGCATCATAGCCATTCTGTTATATGAGATTTGAAAAATCTTAATTTGGTCTGAGTTAAACCAAAAAGGGGACGGCTATGTTTCGAGATATAAACCTATACTATGCAAAATACTAGTAAACTAGTAAATTGAACAAATGTTGTCTGAACTAAAAGTTTAAATTTCCTTAAGGTTTTTATTGCTTGGTATGTTCGATTAGACCATCACAGACTAACAATGATGTGAATAACTACATATTGAAGGTCCAAATGATTCCTCAAGAAAATGAATTTTCGTGTATTGCTTATTCAAAGAGTATATTTGTCAAGAAACCTTCACTAACTAAAGTTTGATTGATTTCCTTCCTGTCTTAAAATTATTAAGGTTGTTATTTGTGGGCCCATTTACTCTCTACTTAGACCATTTAAATATTTATGATTTTAAGAGATGCATCTGCTAGATGGTCATAAGTGAGTCTATTATTCACTGGCCACCCGAAGTTTGGGAGAAAAATTGCTTGAATATTTCTCATGAGAAAAAAAATTCATATTTATGTCATTGAGCTGCCATTTTGTTTCTCTCATCGAAATTGCTTTTCTTTTTCTTTTTTTTCTTTTTTTTTTCTTTTTTGAAGAATGCTCAGACATGAATAGTAGTCTTAAATCCCTTCTATACAAAGTAATTACTAGCGGGTGATACTTGACAATGTGATTTGTCAATTGTCATTGTTTATGAGACAATTATCCCATCAAATATAATACTAACAGAGCTATATATACCAACTACAAGTGCTCCAATTTTAATTGATCTTCTAGTTGAACAGCACATGACTGAAGCATGTTAGACAAATCGATCTTGAAGAAAAAAGTTACAGAAAGATAAAATAATGGAACAAATAATCAAGATGATCCTATTGAAGAAATGATCTTGAAGAGGCCATAAGAAATAATTATTCAAATAACTTGAAAAGAGGTTCACGTCCTTAAAATTTGTAAAATAAACAGATCTCGATAAAGTTATGTTACTAAAGAAAATATACATAATTGAAACGAAAAATTTATCTACAAATTTTGTGGTGCTTAATATTATTTGATAATAGGGAAATATTAAAGCAACATTCATCAAAGAATGTGATGTAGAAATTATTAGCCAAAAATGATAACAAAATTTGTTAGAGAAATGAATTCTTTAAAAGAAATTTTTAGAGAAATTAATTCTTTGGAGTAAAGAAAAGTGTTTAGACCTGTAAACACTTAAAAATATAATCCATTTAGGATTTGAAATGTTTTTTAACATAAAAAATTTCTAAAAGTATTTAAAAGTGAGAAAAAAAATACTTTTTGTTTTTTTTAATAATGGATGCTATTACACTTGATGTTTGAATAATTTGTGTTAAAATGGCACGCAACATACGCCTTGTTGTGGTAACTATCTATTGGTGACATTCATAAAAGTCACTGAAAGATTTAAAGTGCCAAATGCAATTGATTCATTCCTTAAAATATTTATGTGTTCAATCTTATTGAAAATATCATTATATGCATTAAAACAATCTGAAATGTATGGTACAATCACATTAAGAAATATTTGTTAAAACATGATTATAAAAATGATGACTTACCCATTTATTTTTATAGAGAAAATAGATATGGAATTTTAATCATGTCAATTTGTGTTATTGATTTGATTACAATATGCACTCTTGAAAAGCTTAACAAAATAGTAAATTATTTGAAAAATGAATTTATGAAGAAAGAATTAAGAGAGAAAACAAATTTAGTCTAGGGTTGAAAAATTGAATATTTCCAAAAAGGAATGTATGCTCATCAATCTTCCTATATAGAAAATGTATTAATAAGTTTTCATATGAATAAAACACATTCACCGGTACCTACGAGGTGATAATGACATAGAATTAATTTATTCATAAAAAATTGGAGGAATGACTATATTTTTGAGATTTGTGAAGCAAACTTCGACAACAGCAAATTATTGTAATGCACAAGCAAGTCGGAAAATGTATATGTTTATGGAATATGGCTCATCATATGAAGCAGAATGTGGATTAGCTTCAACAAATTAGGATAGTTAAATAATGTTTTACAAAGACAACTTGCAAGACAAGGGACGGACTAATGGAGGAGTCCACTTGTGGAATGCTGAAGTTAAATACGGATGCTGTAGTATGAGAGGAGTTTATAGGAGTTAGGTTGTGGTAAGCGATGTTTTGAGAGTGATTCTAGATTTGGTGCCCCGATTAATTGCATATTTGAACTAGCAGTGAGTAGAGGCGCTAGCTCCCCAAGCTGGCCTTCTTGTTGCTAAAAGCCATGGATTCCGCTATTCGTTGTTGTTGAGTGTGACACCCAACAAATGGTCCGGGGTGTACAACCACAATTTTCGCTTGCTCTCCTTGGCTCTATTTTGTAGGAACTCGCTACAACACCTCTCTAGAATGAACAATATAACTATAGCCATTCCAAACTTTATTGCACCACTCGTTTCACGCAATATGATTGAAATGAATGCATTTTTTGATTGTTAAAAAAACTCTCAACTAACTTGTTGAATAACTTATCTATGTTTTCTTTTTCCAAACAAAAAAAAAATTATTATTTATTTAAATGACTTATTTAATAAAAATTAAACTCTGCCAAACATGATCTGCATAATGTAAACTTCGTTTTTGGGCATTTGTATTTTAAAAAATGCAAAGGGTGGCTGCAATCAAACCATAAGAAGAATGTGTAATTTATCTTTTTCATTCCTTTAGCAAATGCAAATTAAACTGAACGAGTCTAATACAATTCCTTGAAGTCCAATGTGAATTTGACTCATATTTCATTCCAAATTCTCCATTATTGATTTTACTCAATTGTATTGAGATTTCACATTGTATTGAACTCTTCATTTATTAATTCTTCTGGTATGTTGGGGATTGTGGTGTACAATACATATTGGAATTGACTAATTATCCAAATAGTTATTGGTCCAAAAGATCCTTTGTAACTCCATACTATTGAATATAGTGAATTCTCGCTTCTACCCGTGGTTTTCTCAAATTTGGATTTCCACATAAATCTTGTTATGTGATCAATTATTTTTATATTGTCCATGTTATTCTCATTTTATTATTTGGTCCGGTTTTTTAACAAGTGGTACTAGAGCTAAAGGTTTTTTGGCGGATTCTTGGAAGGTCCAAATTGGATATTAAAGTGAAGTTGAAGCAATGTCATTTGTTTTGGGGATGTCAAGTACGAAATCTGACTTCAACTTTTGAATCGCCATAAGAATTTTTGTTATGGCAAATTTTTTTGTTTGGATGCTGGAGGAAAAGCAATGTAAGGATCGAGGATCAATTATATATTTTTAAAGGATTGATGGTCAATATAAATGTAGCTATACCTTATGGTTTGATAAGCGGTGACTCAGATGGAGTCGGTTGAGATCGGTTGTTCTGG